GGACTGTAAACATTCCCCCCCATATATTTATGGCATGCATGTTTAAAATTGGTTGCTCAAAGAGAAAATTCACTGATAGCGGCTGAGGTGAATGACTCCTAGGCAAAATTTGTCAAAGGAAAACCATCTCTAGTGAATGTAGTGGTAATGTATACTTTTTAAAATATGTAGCAGTAATGTAACATTTTTTGTAGCTTGTAATGACTAAGTAACACTTGTGAAAAATTCAAAAAGTAGAGTTAATATAAAACAAAAAAAAACTAATATGTATTTCATTTCATTTTAGAGTGTAAAACATTGAATAGTATCAGAAAGAATCTTTTACACCACAGATGTTGTAAAACACCAAATACACTCAAGTTTTGTGAAATTACACGTATGTCGACGACAAATTTAAATTCTTAATAAAACCTTTGTACATTTGATTTATATTTAAAATAAACGACATTGTCTGTCCTTCATAATCTAAATATTACCTTACCCTCTCTTCTTTTTTAAAATTCTTTTTTCATTGTATGTTTATATTGCTATTCTTTGCACATATGTTATGCCTCTCATTTATGCTATTGTATCATAATTCATAAATTTACTAGTAATCATATTTATTATTTTTCTTACAATTATGACAACTTATTTATATTGTACCTCATGTACCACTGATGTTGGTGTGAGTGAAATAAATAAATGAATTAGATCTTGAAACCTTTTTTTTCTACAGAAACCCTGCCTTGCCGATGACCTTAATTATTATAATATATGTTAGAAAGGTTCATGCCCAAAACTTTTTTTTTTAGACCTAGCAATTTTCTGCAGACAGGGTACAGTGTAATCCATCTTTAGGAATTAATTCTGACAATATTCAGAAGTCTACAAAGCATTTCACAATTAATAACTCTGATATAAACAATTTAAGCATTCTGAACATTTTAACAGGCAACAAAAAATTAATTGATACTATTTACATGTACTTTATTCTATGAAGTCCATAACACTGATTCAATCCTCTTCATAAATTGATACTGTACTTTATTGTCTTCATTAAAATTTCTAAGAGGGGGTGGGGGGGGGCAATTGTGATAGGGATACATGTACATGTAGGTAAAATTTTCATAACCTATGATTTTCAATTTTTCAGTTATTGAAATTGGCCTCAGGGTGTTGTATAAGTTACAGCTAAGTTGTTGCCAGAAAACTTGGCTTAAAAACTATTAAGTTTCGGAAATAACATACTTAAACAATTACATGTATTCAGAATTTTTGTAATTGAGCTCTTGAAAAATGTCAGCATGACGATTTTCGATTTTGTGTTCGCTGCTACATGTATCTTGTGATGAATTCTAATACTGTTTTGTTATCACCAAATATTCTATCATGTACACCTACACAAAAAATCCTAACTACGATACATTCATGTTCAAGACATTTGTCAAATTTATCTTGACAATATAGTAGTACTAGTACCCTTGCAATCACTGCACATGTACGACCAAGGAAATTCGAGTTATAAAAAATAACTACCGTCTCTACACTACAGTGGGCTAGGTGTAATCCACACTTTTATAAATGCTATACACAATTTGATCACAGCCAATAATTAATATTGTAAAAGACAATAATTATAATATTACGTACCTTGTTATCCATCTTCATTAGTCAACCGTACATCACGCCGCCCTGTACAATAATGGCGCCCAGACGGGTCAACGCAATCAGCTGACTCCGGTATAAATAACGCCGAATTATGATTTTTCCACAAAATATAATCATTTGAAATATCATTTCGTATTTTAATCATATCGTAAGGAATTTTACAGACATGTAAAGGTGAATTCCTTGCCAATAATAATAATATTAGTTGTAGCGTATCTTTTTGTGAAAAACGAATCCGTAAAATTAGTAAACCAGCATAATCCTGGTTTTAAGTAGGTCAATGCTGGTTTTTAAGTAGGTCAATGCTAGTTCTATCCTTTGCTTGCTGATGCTGATCCAAGTAATGCTGTTTTTTTAAATGCTGATGCTGATGCTAGTTCTATCCTGATCCTACTTATGCTGATTTTGATGCTGGTTTTTGTAACAAAATTAGTTCCCTGCACTGTAACAGAGCGAATTTTCGCGAGCGCTACCCAAAATTCTTTACACCTCAAAGTTGACCTCTATAGAATGGTTGCGAGGGCTTGCTCTGTTGAGCATGCCTTACTTGTCTTGAGTTTGTCAGTTGCTGGGTTTCCTATCTTGTATGCATTTATTAAAGTTTGCTTTCTTAAAAAATATTGCACCTAAGTTATATCAGATCTTTTGATTCTGGTCATAAATTCATCACTTTTGTCACAATACAATTGCAGAAGTACGTGTAATCTGAATTATCGCTATAGGACTGTTGCTTTTAATTCTAAATGATTTATGTGAATAAGAACTCATCAATACAACAACAATTTAAACACAATGTAGTGTATCAGAAATCATGTGTCAACAATCAAAATTTGTTGCATACAACTAATTTCTAGTCGGAACACGAGCTGCAATTTGTTCCTCGAGATTAATTGCATGATTTGAAATGAAGCTTGTTAATATGCCATATTAATATCCTTTAATAATCATTATTACATTTTGCGTTTTATTCTTTTAAACTCTTTAAATGTCCTAAAAGTTTGATAAACTTTTAATTAAAAGACCTACATTTAAATGGCACAAATGTTCCGTAATGTTATCTCTTACTGATGGGTATGAAATAACAACAAGCATTGAACATTGTTAAAAGCACAAATATTTTTGTGTTCTCCTACACCAATCGCTAAAGAATTGCAGAAACTTCTTCGCTTCACTTCCTGGTTCCGGTTTACCATAGATCTTGACAGGATTGTTTGCACAAATTTGACGAGACTTTTAACTCTGATAATAACAAAATGTAGAGTGGAAAGAAAATAATAAATGTTATCTTAAGAACCTTGGTTTAAATTTTAATGTTGAATTTACTTTATTTTTTTTCCTCTTCTCTCATTTTGGCCACTTTGTAAAAGTTTACTTTAAGCTGGTATGATTGATTAATTGTATATTGTTTAACGTCCCTCTCGAGAATTTTTCACTCATATGGAGATGTTCCCGTATGCCGGTGAAGGGCTTCAAATTTTGACCTTTAATCGGCACTCAGGGCCATTGAGCAGTGAGGGATCTTTATCGTGCCAACGCCTGCCGCTGACACGGGGCCTCGGTTTTTAAGGTCTCATCCGAAGGACCAGCAACTTTCACCTCAAAGTGCCGAGCGCATTGCGAAGGAACATTTGTTACCCATTTTATCGGCTGGGTCAGTCGCGGCCGAGATACGAACTCACGACCTCTCGATCACGGAGCAAACGCTTTACCGACTAAGCTACCGTGAACGGTATATAAGCTGGTATGAATGTTTGAGATATATTAATAAGAGTATATGTATACGTAAAGGAGTTATTTTAAGGGTTTCATTCAAGGCATTTTTGTTGTTTATAGCTTGTTTTAAGTTCGTAGCAAAACGCCATTTTATAGCAGAATGATCTTAAATGTACGTCGTACGATTTCACAACTATTTCTAAAAATAGGAATTTTTGCAGCGACTTTCCAAACAGTCGTTTAATCTGCTCTCACACTGAAAAAAAAAACTACGCCTGCAGGAAGTTAAAAACTGTTTTTGTCCCAGAGCCTTCATTAATATTTTGACTTTATACTGAAAACTTCTAAAGCTCACGCCAATCTATTATATACTAAATTTCAAACACAGTGACGTATTAGAAACACTAGACGCGTAGGATACATCACCCACCTGATTCTATTTGGCTCTGTCTTTCTTTAAAATATTGTCACCGTTCACGGTAGCTCGGTCGGCAAAGCGCATGCGCCTTTTTTGAGAGGTCGTGAGTCGAATCTCGGCGGCGCTTGGTCTAAGTCGATAAAAAATGGTAAGCAACTGTTCTAATCATCGGGCGTTCGGCACTATAAGTGAAAGTTGCGGATCCTTCGGATGAGATCTTATAAACTGAGGCCCCGTTTCACTGCAGACGTCCGTGCGATAAAGATCCCTCACTGCTCAATGCTCCTGAGTGCCGAGTAACGTTCAAGGTTCGAAACCCTTTACCGGTATATGCTGACGTCCCTATATGAGTGAAAAATTCTCAAATGTGACTTAAAACAACATATAATCAATCATCATGAAAAGATTGTCTGGACACATGACACATGGACACATGGTAACATTTTTATTCAATTTATTATTGTTTTTAAAACCACATTATTGAGTATGTCCCTCGTATTCTGAAATATTGCATAATTATCCTATGATTCTATGGACAGGGTGTTTCTTACTATAATACTTTTTTGTTAGGGTTGTGCTCTTAAAACTCTTTCTTTAACCCATAATTTAGCTGCTTTGGGCACGTGCATTCTCTTGTAAATATTATGGGAGGGGGTCTAAAGCAATGCATTCAGGTTTCATTTACTGTTTATATACCAGACAAAATCAATCGCGTTTCAAAGATACAGATTTAAAACAATAATCGATTTATTTCTGGATCTGAATTAAATATAAGTAGCAGTTTAAAGTCAATTTAACCATAGAAACGTGCACGTGGCGATGATATATAAGTTTTAAATCGATGAAAATTTGAATTTGACAATGTAAATCTACACTTAATCTCGTTTTTTTTTTAGGTCAGATACCCCATATATAGCTTTAACAAGTTTTACAGTACCTTTATATAGTTAGTGAAGCTTCAAACCTCATCTCTGATTTACGATTTACTATTGACTACTACATGAATTTACTTTCTTTACCATTCATTTTTTATACAGATTCTCCAATATCCTTGTTTTCCAGCTTTTCACATTGAAGCTAAATGATGAAATGTCGTCACATAAACGGTTATCAATTTATTAAAGATTTAATCATGAAAGAAAGCCATGGTAAATGTCATATTAAGTTTTCTATGATGTATTTCATGTTGTTCAGAATAGAATTTATTAAAACACACGGCAAAAATACATTTTTTTCACAATAATATAAACTTTGACCACACATTAAAGTAAGTTAATTTTGATATTAAGATAAAATCATTTAATATTTAAAGTATAGATTATGCTTTAAAAATTTTGTTTAAGCGTGGTCATTGAATGTTTTGAAAATGAATGTAAACGCCAGCCCTAAAACCATGACCAGCAGATTAAAAATGAGGCCAGCTGCACCTAAAAAGAAGAAAAAATAGATGCAATTTTAGAACCAAGATGCATGTACGAGTAATTGAAAAGTTTAAAACATTGTAAATAAAAAATTCAATTTCTAGAATATATTTTTTTAGAATAATAATTCCTTCGTTATAATTTATTTTATAAATATTAATATTATTATAATTTCTTTTATTTCATATAGCATATAATTATTATATATTGTAAAAGCACAGATATTCGTGGAGGATTAATTTTTTTTTTGTTAATAGTTATCAACGGAATTAAATCTCACACGAAATTTTTATATGACGATATATTTTATTGAATAAGGTTACTTTCAAAACAACGAAAATAAATGCCCATGAATCTATTTAAGATTACCCCATAAAAATTTGTACTTCTACAGTAGTTAATATTTTGCTATCACTTTCTTTTGGCAAGCTAACGTATTTAATGATACTCACCACACCCATATTGGTTGAGGGCTTGCCTTGCTAGGTCGACGTATTGTTTTGCATAGTTAATTGTTGAGTCCTGTGAGCCACAGGCCGACAGTACATTGTCTAGACAGTTCAGATACTGATGAGCTGCACTAAACAACAAAGAGTTATCAAAATCATAAAGGGTTCACTCTCGAGGCGTCTTAAGGAAGAATGCCTTACCAGAATTTTATTTTAATATATTTTTAAGATATATTACTTTTCACTAAGGTTTCCACTTTAAAAGAACGGTATAAGCTCTTAATTATTTTGCATGATGTTTTAAATAAAACAACAAAAAAAAATTCATTTGCAAATTAGATGACAATACACCATAAATTACAATTTTGGAATCATCTTTAGCATTTGTACAAAGAGCCAAGAGAGAATTGCAGAATAAGGATTCTATCTTATTTTGCAAATATCAAATTTATTTTTAGAATGAACTCGATTACGTGAATATTATTTATAAATCTAAATGCATCGATCGTAGTATGTAGTGAAAACATGCTCTATCTATTTTGAGACGCCAAAAAAAATCGTGTGAACACGAAATGAAGTTAGCGCATTACATGCATTCTTAAATTTAACAATTTTTTTCTAATATAGAGTAGCTGATAGGATGCAAGGAAACGTTACAATATTTGTCTGATTTTTTTCCCCATCTCATATAGGGTGTCAGCCGTATAGATTTTTAGTGGACCTAAATTAGCTAGAGTTATTGCACGTTGGCCACCACATTGGAGGTCAACATGCCCTAATTCCTTCATTATTCAAAACTCTTTAACGTTTTATACTGGTCATTGAGGCGTAGGCAACATTTTTTTCGTAAAAATTAAAAAAATATTAAAGCCTCTTTTATATAATACCTTTTATTTTTCCCAAAATATTTCTATTGCATCCTCTTAAATTGGGTGATATAAACAGGGAAAATTACCTTATTGACAACAAAGATGGCGTCCAAGGGAAATAACTCAGAGAAAAAATACGTCATATGAAAATTATCTGTTGTAATGGTAATATGGTTTTTCGAAATTGATTTCGATCAGATATGCCAATCAACAATCAAAACAAAATTATAATAACCTGCAAAGTTTTCCATAATCACCAGCAGCAGCAGAAGCAGCATTAGTGTAGGTTGAGACACACGCTAGGACTGCACTGTCGGAACACGTCTGTGCAGAAATTCCTAAGAATGAAAAAGATAGTATTTATAGTTTTCTTTTCTTCTTTAATTTGAAATTAATTTAATGCTATTCTTTATAATCACTTAAAGGGGCATAGACACAGTTTCAACTGATTTTTTTTAATTGAATTTTAATTTTTACAATTTCTAGGTATAGCATCATCTAATGATCAGCCAAAATTTGAATATCATTTGTTTATTGACAAACGAGAAAGAGAACTTAAAGTTTATGTAAACATAAACAAAGCACGAGCCTTGCTTATGTTTACATCTAAAAAATATCATATTTATAACAAACAAAATTCAGCAAATCACTAGAAACTGACTAATTGAATTTTTAGAATTAACTTTTTTATTGAAATTATCTGCTTTGTACGAACATATATTAGTATATTAACATTATGTAAACAAAACATGACACGGACCATGTTTATATAATAAAGGTTTGGAGCTCTAAATCTGTCTTCTATCTCGACAACCGAAGTTCAAATTTTTGAAAATCATTAGTAAGACTAGTTAATAATTAGATAAAACTTGAAAAATAGATTTGCAAATTTTTAGCTTAAATTGTGTCCATGCCTCTTTAAGGACAGATCATACTAACAAACAATAGACGCCTTGATTGTTATATATTTTTTCCGTCCAATTCCATTGAAAATTATGCAAATAATATACTAGTATTTCTAGAATATAAAGAAATTGTAAACCTTCTATTATGTTCAAAATTCTGCCTCTCTGAAACCATCTTTATCAATCTATACAAATATTTTTCACTTAAAATCCCATTTTTAGTGAAAATTTGAATTAAAAAATAAAAACTACGCGATGAAACTTATTCTTTTACTCATTATAACATGACTCAAGTTGTTATTTTCATTTTTTTTTTTACAAAAGTTCGTTCGATCATCTGTCTTTACACAGATTTTCATTTTTTCATCTGCACAATATTGCATTGTTTGAAAAAATATAGTAACTTAATATATTTTGGTATAAAATAAATTTCACCTTGGATGTATACGGTTAATGAAATTAAACAGAAAATAAGACCAATGGTGGAGAGCTTCTGATTTTTCATATCTTCTGTTTCTGAAAATATGAATATATATTTGATTGGGCATAATGCATAAAATGAATTCATAAGCAAATAAAAAAGAATTGGAGGAAGACTTTTTTGACCTAAAAAGTGATGTACATGGAGATGATTTCAAATTAAATTTTTGATAAATGGCAGTATGTCAGGAGCACACGGCGGGTGAGACCGGTAGGCAGGGGATGTTCACTTCTCTTAGGCATCTGATCCCACCTCTAATGTTTTGGAGGTCCATGTTTGCTTCGCTCCTGTTTTGTTTTGTATATAGTCTATTTATATTCCCAATATAATCTATACAAGTGCAAACAGTTCATAACAAGACAAATTCATCGGTTTTGAGGCCGCTGACATCAAACACAACGACAGTCGCACATGATTTACATGCAAATAGGTCTTCTTAGCACAGACATAAAGACAGCTGCACGGGATTTACATGCAAATAGGTCTTCTTAGCGACAGACATACAGACAGCTGCACGGGATTTACATGCAGGTCTTATTAGCGACAGACATACAGACAGCTGCACGGGATTTACATGCAAATAGACCTCCTTGGGAAGTGTAAGAAATAAAGGCAGCAGCACGAGATCTGCATGAAAATAGGCCTCCGTAGCGTCAGACACAAAGATAACCGCATGAGATTTACATGCAAATAAGCCTCCTTAGCGTCAGTCACAAAGACAGTCGCACAAGATTTACATGGAAATAGGTCTATTTAATTAGGAACCTGCTCCGATTATCTTTTCTTTAGAGGGCGCCACAGGCAAACACGGTCCTGTATCGGAACACCCTCGCGCCTTATCAGTAGTTACCGATCGAAGAAAAACGTAAACAATCTGCTGTCAAACACATGCTCGTAAAACATGCCTGAAACTTGTTGTTGTGTGCCGAATTGTAGTAATCGGGGTGGCCATATATTTCCAACAGATCCGTTAAGAAGAAAAGCATGGATACACGCAATAAAACGTGGTGAAACTCGTTTTCAAAGCTGGACTCCGTCAACTCATGCTGTTGTTTGCAGAGCACATTTTAAATCAGACGACTATTTGACTGAAACCCAGCATGGTAACAATATTTATTTATTTATTTTGAAATCTTTGATAAGCATGTGCAAAGTAATGTTAATAGATTTTATTCTGAGCAATGTTTATGCCTTATTTGCTTAGATGAAATGCACTAAAATATCGAATCCCTTGTTTACCTCTCATACGAAGTAATCTGATAACGTTACAGACACTGCCACATGCAGACTCCCCACTGACAACTTCAATTACTGGTCATTTATTACAAACGCATTATCTTTTAACAATATAAACACAAGGCATGTCTAAAAGAACACATGCTGTTGCCTGATAATTTATGCATATCTACCAGTACAAGATACTGTGTTTTGACATTGATGTCTAATTAGCACCCTGCTTAAAAACAAATTTGACCTGTTTAGTTGAATTAATAAACACATGGGCATGTTTTGTAACATCAATTTTATAACAATAATACTTGTAATAATAAAAATATTTTAGTAAATTTATATTTGTTTTATTTGCTTTAAAAAGTTAGTTCAAATTATAAATTAATTATTTAATAAATAATCTAGTACTATGAACAAGTATTGATATATTAAATAATTTAATTCTTAGGAACTACTCCTTTAAGTAAAAGATTGAAGAAAACTGCAGTGCCAAGCATTTTTCCCTGGGTAGAGCCAAGTCCACATTCACATGAACGAGCCGACAGAGCCAAGTCCAGAGGCATCAAACGAAAACTAGCAGAAGAATTTTCTGCTTCGTCTTCCATAGATGAATTCATCTATACATCAGCTGATGATCTGCAAGTATCCGAGGAAATTGTATCTAACTCTACCCAAATTTTGGCTGAAGAAATTCAAGTCACTGTTCAGAAATCTGACGTTAAATTTTTTGATGTACAGACACAAACTCCTCGGTATCCCCCAATGAGTATTGAAAACTTTACAAATGATGATGCCGGAGTAAATTTCTATACTGGATTGGAAACTCTAACTAAATTTTATTTTGTTTTAAGAACCTTAGGACCCGCAGCTCACTGTTTGAATTATATTTATCATAAGGTTTCAAACATAAGTGTTCCTGACCAATTTTTCTTAGTCCTCTGCAAGTTACGGCGCCATACGACCAATTTTGAACTTTCAAGATTATTTGGAGTTTCCGAAAAGACTGTATCAAATATATTTTTTACATGGATTTTATTCATGAGTAAGCAATGGCAGGAAATCGACATTTGGCCTACAAAGTATCTTGTAAAATATTACTGTCCATCAGATTTTAAAACAAAATTTCCAAATACTAGAGTGATAATAGATGGCACAGAGTGTCCAATTAAAAGACCAAAGTTACCAAAGCCACAGCAAGCAACGTATTCTACCTATAAAAACCGTAACACGGTAAAAGTTCTTGTAGGAGCGACACCAGGTGGATTAACATCTTATATTTCTACAGCTTATGGGGGATCCACAAGTGACCGTCAAATAGTTGAAAGAAGTAGGCTGTTAGAAATGTGCAATTCTGGAGATTCAATAATGGCGGACAAAGGTTTCAATGTGCAGGATATGTTTGTACACAGGAATATTCAAATAAATACACCAACATTTTTCAAAAAGAAAAACAGAATGTCATGTGCTACTGTGATTGAGGACCGAAAAATATCCAGCAAACGTGTGCACATTGAGAGGATCATTGGACTTGCAAAAACATTCAAAATTCTGACTGAGCGTATGAATAGTTCTGAAACAAAACTTTCTTCAGAAATAATCTATGTTTGTTTCATGTTGTGTAATTTTAAGAATTGCATAGTGCCATCTTATGCATAACTTGGTATTAAAAATGACATAATAAGAGAAAAAAGTCTTTATTTCATTTTTCTTTATTGCAACTACATTTTCCATCATATGTCTTGAAAAAAGTTTTTTCCAATAGAGCAGACTTAAAAAAATCTTCATAGAATTCATTCAATTTTTTCTTCATCTCATCAATAAATTTATCATCCCTTTCTATTGCAAAGAACAAAAAGTCATTGAAAGTATACACAACAAATATACACTCATTTTTCTCTGCACAGTAAAGTTGTCCTTGGACCTGATAGTAATAGTCATGGGTTTTATTCAAATAAAATTTACTTCCAGACTGCTTGATATAAGGAACTGTTTTTGAGGAAATAAAACTGTTTCTTGCCACATATGGACACTTAACTTCAATCAAGGTGTCATCGTCAATAATACCATCTGGGGTTGCTGCTAAATGAGGGGAGTCCAGACTGACACAAATTCCACTATTGTAAACTGTGCGTCCCGAAATTTCCTGGTACTTCTTCACAGCTTCTTTTTCGTATTTTCTTCCATGAAGAATAGGTTTAGCATTAATTTTTTGTGCCTTTGTTGTTAAAAAGTCAGCAAGTTTCACCTTATCTGTTCGATCAGTTGCTTTACATATTCTCCCGAATACCGAAGAATGAAGACGTTTGCAACGTTCCTCAAACCAAAGGTCGTTGGCCGCTTGTGTAGCTGTTTTTATCATAACTTGACGTGCATTCTCCTCTGAAATTTCTGATACATTTAAAAGTTTCAAATGATTTTCACTAAACGTGTCTTTTAGATAGTCATGGTCCAGGTTGTAAGCTTTCATGTTTACAGGCTCATACAGCTGAAAAATTGGAGTCTTACTAATACCTGGGTAATTCAAGCACACATTTCTAAAGTAAGACTGGTATCCCGGATTGCCTCTAAATTCAACTGGACGAGGGTCATAGTCATTATTGCATACTTCGTCACAGCCTGGCATGTCCAACTGTCTTGCTTTCATAGGGCTTCCTTTATGGGGCTTAGCACGATGAAAAGTTTGTAACCTCTGTGTGCAGGTGAGTTCTGTTTTGTATGTCCCATGCTTAACAAAATCTGCACATGAAAAAAGTACAGCACAGACATGCTTGCAATGTGCATCGGGTCCCATGCCTGCCGCACATTCACATTGAGACTCTATAACACTTCTGTCTTTTCCTATCATAATGTCAACAACATATTTCACAGACTTCATCATTGAAGCTTTTACACTACTTCTAACGAACCAATTTGAATCATGAAATGTCACCCTCACATACTGGATAAACCCATCGTTGTACATATCCCTTCCTTTCTTATCAGTTGTCTTATTAAACTTCGACAAGAAAGTGGAAATTTCTGCCTCTGTGCAACCTGGAAAGGTCTTGTCACCATGAAGGTCCTTGTAGAGTTGTGGATCTGGCGTCATCATCATAAATTCAGGTCCATAAACATCGGTCTTAGCACAATGTGCATTTCTTCTGTAGGCTTCAAGTCTGCAATAAAATAAGCATATTTAATTCTTTTTCATGTATATTTTGAGTGAAACATAGCTGCAACAATCAGGAAATAATAATACTGCTTCATAATAAAAATGTAGAGAAGTATTCTTATTTTACTGCAAGCACCAAGCAATATGAGATCGATGTTAGAATTACCGAGGAAATTCAAGTTAAAAATCTAACACGCTAAAGTTGCAGATTATTTAAGAATTAGTTTCTTAAACGAGGTAATTCTGATATTTACTGTCAATTTGACTTAATGTTAATCTTTTACACACCATTGATAATTATTTACTGTGTTATTAATAATGTTTACTTGGATTTGCATGAAAACATCGTATGTTTATTTACCTCTCCACAAGTTCCCACTTCCTTCCTGATTTCTTTGCTCCAAACTTTTCTAACTCGTTCTTAAGTTCAGGTATAGTCATATCACCACAATTAGATGCCATAGTAAATTAAGGATTGTAACTAAAACGTGTGTGCTTTCCGATATCGTATTCGAGAATGGATGCTGATTATCCATCTTCACAGGTTTTATCACTTTTGTAATGGACCGCATTTTCCTGTGGCGCCCCCTACCGATACAAGATAAGATAACCGACTCCGGTTCCCCATTAGTGTCAGACATAAAGACAACCACA